CCTGAGCGAGTCTAACTCTACCAGGCATTTATGCGATGTCTGGTTGACTCGCCGTGTTGCGGGGTGGATTCCCTTTGCTCACCTGATGAGTTTTCAGGTAGCTCACTGACTTTCCCTGATGTCACGTACTTTGCCTGCACATGGGGTTACTGAAGCTCCTGAAATCTCTTCCAGTCTGCCAAGAGCTGTGAGGTGCCCAGAGGGGAATCTGCTCAGCCAGGTAGGGAAGTTCTTTCAGGCTTTGTTTGAGTAAGGTAATTCTGAGGTCTCTGGGCCTCAGGAATCTCCAGTTGAGAGGCAGCATCCTCCTCACCCTTTCTGTGAAACTGTCACTAAACTCCCATGAGTGACAGCCTGCAAATTTGGGATATTGTTTAAATTTAGTTATGAGAAAATAAAGTGACAGTTTTTGAATCTAGAGCCATGACCACAGTAGTAAGAATTGCACAGATGATGGCAAGAGGGGAAGGGACAAATCTGTGTCCCAGGGCTTCCACAAGGGAGGGGAGGAGCAGGACAGCTGGTGGCTGGGGCATAAACATTCTAGAAGTATTGGAGGGATTTACCTACCTCCCACCTACCTACCTGAGATACAGTAAAATATAACTAAGATTAAAGACCACAGAAAACTGAAATAAAAGTATAAAATGAAGATTTTGAGGAAAAGACAAACAGAAGTAATGCAGGCCAGAAGGACCTATAAAGTTAATGTGTAAACTCTTGTTTCACTCTGTGATTCCTGAAAACTAAAATGAAAAGAGACACACAGTTATGTGGCGCTTATTATCAGGGATGAAGGAATATTCTTGTTTTATTCAGGGGGTGCAAGTGTTCTGAACTGTTGCTAATGCTTGAAGTGTACTAGGTTCTTAGTGTTTGCTGATTGAATACACAAGCAAATGAACAAATGAGTGGGTTTGTGTTTGCACCATGAACTAGGGACCGATTTCTAGATGAATCTATGGGAAGAGGAGACTAAGGCTTTACACAGCATGGAGAATTTAAAATAATCACTTCTTAGGCTATTGGTTTTCTTTCTTTCTTTCTTTTTTGGTACTGGAGATTGAACTCAGGTCCTTGTGCTTTCAAGGCAGGAGGTAAAACAACTGAGCCAAAACCCAGGCCCTTAGGCTATTGTTTATTGTCTTCTCTTTTTCTTATATGCCTTTTGGATGTCCTGGTTCTATCTTATGTGCTTCTTATATTTTTCATACTATATTTTCATCACTTGTGTGGTGTACATTTTTTTTCACATGAACATCTCTGAAGTTGAGATATTCTGCAATTGATGAGGTCTCACAACCATTTTTATCCAGGTGCTGGTTGTGACATAGATGTTATTACCTGTGGGTACTTGAACTTGGTTGTTATTCCTGAAGATCTGACCAAATTCTTCCATTCTGTTTGTTTCCAATTCTCAAAGTAATTTTGGCTAACAACTGCCAGGAATACCCATGCTGTTACTAGTTAATGGGTCCTGGGGAAATTCCTTCTAGCTTCTTACTATTCTGAACAAGGAACTTGGCAAGACACATAGAAAAGCTAATGGGGATGCACTTTTATTGAAGGTGGAAAAGAAACAGGCTCTGAAGCCTGACTCACAGTGGCCATGAGATAAGGGAAAGGGGTTCTTCATACCTGGAATTCCCGGATTGGCTTCTCCTTCATGCAAAACAAACAAACAAACAAAAAAAAACCCAAAAAAAACCCCAACAAAACATTGGCACAGTTGTTCTATCACACATTCACTCGGCCTGGCACCAGACTTAAACTGTCCTATCAAAGATTAGCTTTGGTTTTGTGCCAAGTGTAAGTGAAGATTTAAAAATAGCACTTTTCTGGTTGGGCCTGTATACAGTGCTCAGGAACTGCAGAGTCATCCTGGATCCTGTGTTGTGCATGTGTACTCCGGGTCTGCATGATTTTGACAGATTCTGTGAGTTGTTCTGCCACAACCCTAATCTCCTACCTCATTGGCACTGTCTGGATGTTGTGCTGCCTTGAAATTTCTTCTGCTAGATAAGCTAGTTCATCAGTTTTGAGCTCAGGGTACGGACAAAATGAGACCAAATTCTTTGCCACAGAGTAACGTGAGTGGCCTAAAGTCTAATTTCCAACAGAATCTTCATTTCCCTCTGAAACTTTAACAGTATAGCTTTTATTTCTGTGTTCCTACCAGCTTTTTGGCCTTCTGAGCATTCTAGGCTTTTTCTAGCCCACTCCTCCAAATTTTTCCAAACTCTACCTGCAGGCCTGTCCCTAACACTTTCCCACATCATCTCAGGTATTGCAATGACTGCCACACTTCTCACTATCAGCTTTCTGTAAGAAAGGGAAAAACCTAAATAAATCCTCCAGTGTCACTAGCTTTTAGCTGACTTAAAAATCACCTTGGAGGCAGTGCAGCAGCACAATATGATAGTAGTCTCCCACTAGCTTTGCTGTAGATCTCACCTCGGCTGAAGTGGCCTAATGAGTTAATACTGTTTTCCAGCAAAAGCTGCTTTCTGCTCTTCTCCCCTGTTCTGTATCTTAAACTGCAAGGTTAGCTATTCCTGGGAAAGGGAGCTAAACAGACATAAGTCATAAAACTAATCAGTAATTTTTCTCTAGATTTACAAAACCCAGGACATCTGATGACCTTTAGGTAGCATCAGAGTGTATCTCGGCTAGCACAAAACACACAACTTGCCAATCTTGTTCTTTAAAGATAGAAATATAGGTAATTAACAAGAAAATAATGTTGATCTGAAGGATGATAGGACTAGGCTAGAACATGATGGCTGATTGTTACTGTAAGCATGTTCTAGTGAAAGAGAAAGAAAAACATGCCCTCAGTGACAAGATGATATGGAGCCAGCGTTAGTTCCCTGTACCTCCTGTCCCGCTATAAAAAGTTTTGCATACTTGGGTTTCCTAAGAAGGGGCTCTGAGACCATAGCTCCCTCCATCTTCAAGGTTCTGGCTCTTAAGTAAAACTGATTTCCTTTCAACCAGCTCGCATCTCTTGAGTGTTGCTTTTTGAAAAGCGAGCAGCTGGATCTGGGTCCAGTAACACAAACACCTGAGAAAGTCAACTTATAAAGAGAAGAAACTTACTTTGGATATAGTTTTAGAGGTTTCAGCCTATGGTCAGTTGTCTCATTTTGCTTTGGACCTTGGTGAATTAGCACATCCTGCTGGGAGAAAGCTGCTCATCTGGTATCTGGGAACTGAGAGAGGAAGAGGAGGGCTTGGCTTTCACAGTCCTCTTCAAGGCAGGCCTCCAGCGACTGAAAGACCTCCCAGTGTGCTTCACCTCTTAAACGTTTTCCTCCACTTCCCAATAGTGCCACAGTCTGGGGAGCAGGGCTCCAGCCCACGAACCTCTGCGGACATTCCAGACTCAAGGTGGGGTGCTCCCACCTGGAGCACACACTCAGTTTTCTTGAGGCTCCAGTTCCCCTGTGGAATGGGGATGACAAACATAGCCACCTCTTGGGGCTGTTGTATTGTGAGGGTTAAATGAGAAAACATCTGTAGGAATTCACAACAATGGCAGGGGATGAGGACAAATGTTTGTGTTCCTGGACCTGATGCGGTGCTTAGGCTGCAAAAGGTGGTTACTGGGGTAGAGTTCCAGCTGCTGTGTGCAAGGAGATCTGCTTTCTGCTGTGCTCCCTTTTCCTTCACCTGTTTTTTTTTTAATTCATTAAGTTTATAATTTATGTATACAATATGATGACCCTCATGATTGGGAATTTGTACCTGTACATGATATATATTGATTTTTATTTTTTCCCTATTCCCGTGACCTCCCTTGAACCCCTCTACTCGTCCCTCCTTACAAAAACTTCATTTCTGTTTTTTTATTTTTTCTCCTTCCTATTTCTCCCGTATCTTGAGGAACTTTGCTTCCGTAGAAAGCAAGTGAGTTAGCCTGGAGCTGGGGAACCTGGGGCTGAGCTCACAGGAAGTTGTGGTCTGGTATTTGGATTCCAATATTGCAGGCCCAGATTGGGCAAGAACAGGGAAACCGTCGGTCCTTCTGAACCTGGGATATGTGGAGACACCAAGAATTCTGGGAAATTCAGAGGCAGGAAGTGAAAAGGGGAGGGGCAGAGGGAAAACCACAAAGTACACCCTGGCCCCCTTTGGCCTGGCCCTCCCTCCCAAATTGTAGAACGAGGAGTGAGATGACTGGCATATAAGGCCAGGGCAGTGGGGCGAGAGACCAGGAGATCCCTTCCTAAGGGGATGAGAACAGAGGTGGCTGTGTCCCCCTCCCCCACTATTCATTGTCCAAGTTCCAACTCTGTTTCCACTTCTGTTTACTGTCCAAAGTCCCAAGGCCAGGAGATGCCAGATTAGAGTAACTTGAACACTCAGGACCCTGGCCTGAACCAACTTCCTCTTCCCTTCTCATCTAGAACCCACCACCTGCCCAAGTTCTCTCAGCTTTAACCCCTCTTTCTCCCTAGGGTCTAACTGTCTGCAGGAGCTGGAGCCAGCTCTTCACACCTTTAAAAGGTAACCAAGGTAGAGGAGACAGGTGGAGTGGGGGATGTTTCAAATCAAGGAGACCCTGGTTTAGGGACAGTGGGGCTGGGTGGGAAAATGTGTGTGGTTTGATTCTTGAGGGTATGGAAGGTTGGTTTCTGGTATGTCAGGGGCTAAGTCATCTCCTGAGAAGGGTCACGACCGTGCGATATTTCAAATCTTTACCCTGAGCTCATCTCCAATCTCAGAACCAACCAAAGCCATCATCTCGACCTTCCCAGGCCCCACTCAATCCTACTGTCTGCCTCCACTAGAATTCCCATCTTAGCACAAGCCCCAGCTCTAATAACCTCTACTCAGTCCAATATTTAGCTCCACCTCTGGGACCATCATGGAGAAGGACTTTCAAGACATCCAGCAGCTGGACCTCGAGGAAAATGACCATCAGCTCAGTGGTGGTGAGGGGCCAGGCACTTGTGGGCAGAATCCCACGAGAGAAAATCCATTTTGGAAAGGCAAGTGTCCAGTTTCCTGGGCTTAACTGCACCCCTGTAACAGCTGCTGAGTACTCTGTACCTCTCCAGGGTCTGTCACACTCTTTGAGCTGGGACTAAGACCTTCTGAGTGTAAGCTGTAGATAGCTGTGCTTCCAGAGGGCTTCCAGAGGGTGTGCGGGACACCTGGAAATTGCAGGTGGCTTCTTTCCTTCTCCCACCGCAAGAGACAGCTGTGCTGTGTGTTTGCCTGGGTACATGTGTGCATAGAAGGAATGCAGAGCCAGCTAGGACTCTGTGTGACTTGGAGTGGGTGGGGAAATGAGCACAGAGAGATCTTGGAAGATTCCCTCTCCTCTTCAACTTCCTGCCTGAATCTTCCTTTAGCAAATCTTGAAGCAGGCCCCAAGGGGCTGGGAAAATTGTTAAAGTAAGAGAGATCTGAATGGTTCTAGGTAGAGGTGAAGAAGCCAGGGATAGAGGATATGCTCTGTGCGGGTGCTGGTTTTGGAGCTGGTTTCTGTGGAGGGAGGAGGGGCTGGGACTCGATCTCAGGGAGGGAGACCAAGGAGCCTGGGTTGGGAGGAATCCCTTGCATTCCTGGGGCCAGCAGAAGGAGGGAGAGCTGACACTGGGCAGAGCAGGAGTGGGCAGAAGGGATAAATGTTCCACTGATGGCTTCTCCTTCCCCTGGCAATGGGCTGGCAGGTCTTACCACCCACTGGTGGGCTCTATGAGTACAGAAGCTATGTCTACCTCTACTGTCTTCTTCAGCGTTTGGGCCCACATGGTGCGTGGGGCTAGTGAACCTTCAGCAATGACTTTGGTTATTGTTGAACCTTCTGAGGTTGAGATGATTCAGAGTTTAAGGAGGGGGCTTGGAGAGAGACCAGAATTTTTGAAATTAATGGGAGTAGGGACTTGCCCAAATGGACTGAGGGTCAGCACTGAGGGACAACCAGGCATTACAAGTTATGCATTTCTCTCCAGCAGCTCTGTTATCTGGAAGGGTGAGTCCCTGTAGAAGCAGACTTTATTGCTAGCTGCCTCCCACTCTTCCTGGCACTTTCCATCTATACAGTTTCCAACTAATTTGGAAATATTTTGGCCATTGTTTCTGCAAATGTTTGTTTTTTCCTCTTTCCACCCCTTTCCTTTCTGTCAAGGACTCCCATTAAGTATATATTAATATATCACATTTATTAATGGCCCCATTGATGCTCTTACACCCTCTCCCCACAACTAGGAATTGAACTCAGGGCTTCACAGATACCAGACAAGCACTCTACAACTGAGTTGTGTCCCCAGCCCATCTTAATAGACTTATTAACTTCCTCTTTACAAGTTGTGTTTTTCTGTTTCATTGTATGCATTGGATGCCACACATTGTGAATTTTGTCTTGTTGGATTCTAGATATCTTTGTTTTACTGTAAACATTCTTCAGCTTTTTTTCTTCTTCTGGGATTCATTTAAGTAAGTTGGAATCACTTTGATCCTGTGAACTCTTAACCATCTTGGGTTCAGACTTCTAGCTCCATCTTCTCAACTCAGGCAGTCTTCAGGACTCTATCTTGATTTCTTCTCCCTGCTCTGTGACCTGAAAACTTTCTCTAAGCAGTAAGCAGGGCCAGCTGGAAGGCTCATTTATTTCCTGTCTTTCAGGGGTCACTATCCTTTGCTGCTTGTTGTCCAGTGTCTTGAAAATTGTTGTGTACTATAGTTGTTTTATTTTTTTATTTTGGTTGTTTTTGGGGAAAGGATAAATCTGGCCCCTGTGTTTTCATCTTGGGTAGAACACTTCTTCAACTTTCAAACTGCCAAGAAACACTTTACACGCTACTTTTGTTATTGCCATTTTACACCTGAAAACATGGAGGCACTGGGGAATTGAACAAGTCCCAGATGTCTGAGCTAGTTGGTGGTACAGTTGGAGCTGACCTAGAGTCATGGGTCTGTAAGTCACAGGTTTCAAAGCAGGGCTAGCGCCCTCTCCGTGGGCGGTACTGAGAGGCGCAATCAGGAGCTCAGCTCTGGGATCCCAGGCTGGGTGGGGAAGACTGGTCAGAGAGCTTCTGGCAGGAGTGTGTCCTTGCCCATTTTGTGCTGCAATAACGGAATACTTGAGACTGGGTAATTTATAATGAACAGGGATTTACTGACTCGTTCTGGAGGCTGGGGGGCTGTCTCTGTTGAAGGCCTTCTCGGTCATCTGACGGTGGAAGGGCAAAAGGAGGGTGAGAGAGACAGCAAGAGGCAAGCTTTTACAAGTGATCCACTCCTACAATAAGCATCGATCCATTCTTGAGGACAGACCCCGTGTGATCCAGCCACACCCAGTCAGCCCCACCTCCCCACACTCTGCACTCGGAATCAAGTTTCCAACACATTTAGGGACACATTTTAATCACAGCAAAGAGGAATGCAGGGGCACTGGGGAGGGTGTGGGGAGGTGAGAGCAGGGAGGCTGTGTTTAGCTGGTAGGAAGGAGGTCAGAGGCACAGCCTTGATATGAGAGGACTTGTATGAGGGATACAGGCATTGATCTTAGGGAGAATGCTGGGCCCAGCCTGGAGAGATCCCAATCTGAAGGGGCAGGGAATGTGGAAGGGCAGAGACTAAAACCAGAGATGATCAGTAGGTCTGTCTGGCTGGTGGGCAGGAGGGGAAACCATTCACAGACCTCCTTCTGAAGGAGGGGTGTCTCATAAAGCCCAGGTCTTTCTCCCAGGCCCCACTGTGTCTTCCTGTCTCCAGGTCCAATCTCAGTTTTGTGTGTAGCTGATGTACCATGTGCCATGTGAATGTATGTTCTGTGCACCTGTGTGGGTGTGTGTGCATGCTTAAACATGTTCATGTGGGCTTAAATATGTGTGTGTTCAATGCCTCGGTGGTCAAAACCCATCAAGACCCCATAGGCCTGGTTTCCTTCCCTGCTTGGGTTGCACCTCCTCAGATGTCTGAGCCCCCTGCCCCATTATGCCTTGCTCTCCAGCTCCCATCCCCAGATGGATGCCCAGGTCCTAACACCCCCTCTCTCACAGGGCCACCTTCTCCCCAGACCCTCCAGCAACACCTCTGCTCCAGGTTCCGTCTCAGTCTGCTTGCCCTGGGCTTCAATGTCCTACTGCTGGTGGCCACATGTGTGATTGGGTCCCAAAGTGAGAGTCCCAGGGCCAGCAGGGATGCGGCAGGATGGGGAAGGGTTATGGGCAGTAGCGGGGCAGTGATGGAAACAACAAAAGGGGAAGAGTGGAGGCAGCATGCTGGGCAAAAGTGGGGGTCAGTGATGCGGGAGTGGTGGGAATTATGACGGTAGCAGTGTGGGTGGTGAGGGGGAAAGACCCGCAGACAGCCCCACACCCCATCCCCCCATCCCACTGTTTCCTGGTAAGGCACACAGCTGCAAGTGGAGCTGCAGGCCCTGAAAGAAGCGTTCAGCAATTTCTCCTCCAGCACCCTGATGGAGATCCAGGCTCTAGACCTCTATGGTGAGTGGGCTGGGTGGTTGGCACAAGAGTTTGCTGGGATGTCTTCCTTTGGTAGGAGTGTGTTCCAGGGCTGTGGGGATGCAGACTGGAGTTGGGCAATACCCTGGCACGGGTGAGAAGGCCCCAGGGTGAGGACCTTGTGGCTGGAGGCATATGCAGGAGGCAGAACAACTGTTTCCCTCTTTTTGAGGAGGCAGGGCAGGTGGCAAGTTGACATCCTTGGGAGCCCATTTGGAGAAAAAGCAGAAAGATCTTCAAGCAGGTCAGAGACCTTCCCAGTGTGTGTGTGTGTGTGTGTGTGTGTGTGTCTTTGTGTGTCATATGTGTATGTACCATGGTGTGTGCTTGTGTGTGTGTGATGTGCCTGTGCACTGTGAGGGATATCTGTGTGCGGGTAGCATAGGCGATGTGTGTGCTATGTGTAAGGTGTGATGTGCACTATCCTTTCATGTGTGGTGTGTGGTACATTACATGTTGGGGCGTGTGTATATGTGGGACATGTGGTGTGATGTGTGGGTGTGTGCTTCCCTAGCTGACAGCTAAAGTCTTGTGCCTGGTCCTGGAAGGACCGAGACTCACCACTGACACACTGCTGTCCATTCATCTGTTACCTAGATCATGCTACCTTGCTCCTTCACCTGAAGCACTTTCCAGTGGATCTGCGCACCCTGGCTTGTCAGATGGCATTCCTCCAGAGCAATGGTAGGGACAAGGAGCCTCTGAGCCCAGAGTGTTTGTCCTGGCAGGCTGGATCTTACCTCTTTCTGCCCCTCTATCCCCTCAGGCACAGAATGCTGCCCCGTTAACTGGGTGGAGTATGAAGGCAGCTGCTACTGGTTCTCTCGTGCTGGGATGACCTGGCCCGAGGCTCGCAATTACTGCCAGCTGGAGAATGCCTACCTGGTGGTCCTCAACTCTTGGGAGGAGCAGGTGAGGCCATGCTTCCCAAAGGCAGGAGGAAACCTCAAATACAGGCTTGGTCAAGAGGCCCACTCAGGTTTATGTTTTCTCTTTTTAACCTAAATAAGAAGTGGAAGCAGAAATGTGGTAGAGCTCTGGGAGGTGCCTAGTGGAGCAGTCTTTGATTCTAAGAGGTGGGAGGCCAGGAGCCATGTGACAAGGTGACAAAGAGCCAGCCTGGAGACAGAATGCCAGCTGGGGTGACCTTGAGGCCAGGACACAGGAGCAGGAAAATGTAGGGGAGGATGCAGAGTCCTTTGTTGCCCTGCTGGCCTTCTGATGTGTTTGTCAGTTGGGTTAAATCAATAGAATGGGCAGGATCCAGGGGTCTCCTACAGTGGGTCACTGGGTTCCTCCAAGAAGCCCTGTGTCTCCCCTTCCCACTGCTGCCACAAGAGAGCAACCCTGACCACTTGTTTGTGGGGAAGAATAGATAGGATGTTTTTGGAAAAGGAGGGTAATAATGGTAGCATTTATTGAATGCTTACTATGTTCTGGGTGCTTTCATCTATTCATGTCAAGCTTTACAACCCTGTTGGGTAGAGATGTTTGTTATCTCCACTTTGAGATAGGAACAGAGAGGTTAAGTGATTTGGCACATAGCTAAGTACGTCATGTTGGAGCCAGAATTCAGATCCATTTGGCGTCTTTCGCTAGTGTTTCCAATTGCTACCATGTGCCATGTGAGGTCACTGTGAGGTCAAAGGGGCTTTGTGCTGTAGAACTCGAAAGTGTTATAATGCCAAAGCAGTTAAGCCATGTGGTACAGAGGCCAGGAATGTATTTATCAAGTGTTTGCTGTCCATGATGCTCTGTGAATGCAAACACATTTTGCTTTACTGATCGGGTTGAAATTATTGATATTCAATTGATTTGGACCTATAAAATGTTAATTTAATGTCGCTCAGCCTAAGACTTCAGCATTTTATGATTTGGCTCACAAGAGCCCACCCTGGTATACTGTGCTTTCATCATTATGAAGTAAATGCCAGTATCCCACTCAATGTTTTTGCCTTGATTTCATTTCTAGCGATTACTTTTATAACTTTAAATGGCCGATTGAAGCTTATTAGCTTAAATAAAAATAAAGAGTTTATATAACTTTCTACATGTAAGGTGAGAAAAAGGAGACCAGCACACTTCCTGGGGTATAATCTCCCCAGGAGCTATGCAGTTAATAGCTTTTAAGTGTGTTTTCACTCAGGTCTTTTGGGATCTTTCACTGACTTCAGTGACACACTGTTAATAGAAGCAAGTAATGAAAATTCTCATCTTTCCTTTTTTGGAACCCTTTTGAGTTCCATGATGATTTTCCTCCTCTGTCTCAGGTATGAATGGGTACAATTCTTTCTTCTCTGTATTTCACCCAGGAAGGGAAGGAATGGATGAGCCTAGATAATTTTCTCTGATTGTCTAGTACAATTTGATTCCTCCTTAGTCTCTGTACTGAAGGATCCTAGAATTTAGGGTTAACTGATTATGTCCTTGGGTGAGGTGACCAACTGCAACTTTAGTTATGTCTCTCCAGAGTATTAGTGGAACTAGATAGTTTTCCTCCAAATGCAAATAAGAACCCTATACTTGCTGTCTAAGGGGATATAGGCTTGCTGTTGGTCAACCCATCCCTCTGCTTCTTCCACAAAACTAGATGACCACATCTTGACCTACCAAACCACGGGACTTAAATCTCTAGGAATAGTCATATCTTTAAGAGAAAGCCGTTTGGAAGGGCTTCTTGGAAAGCTACCTGCAGGCTCAGAGACGGTGTCACCCAAGGTCCTGCCAGTTGGCTGGCTGGGATGCCCCTCATTCCCAGGGCACCCTCCTGCTTGCACTCTCCTGCATAGCATTCCAGATCCCACGTAGCCAGGTCCTGATGGAGCTCCAGGCAGTGGGCCCTTGGAACCCCCGAGGCTTGGCAAACCTTGGAAAGTGATAGCTACACTTAGAAGCAGGAGCAACCAGGGGAAGATACACCTGAGAGCGAGTGAAGATGGGATCCTTAACAGGTTCTGGGATCTGTTGGGGCAGGGGCAGCAGAGATTCCAAGAGTTGGAAGTTGTGGGAAGATTGGGAGAGGACCAGAAGTAAGATAGCAGCTGTAATGGGAATGGAGTGAGACGTTAGGCCAGGGCTGGGAACAGAGGACAGTGCCTAGTGGCTAGTTCATGGCTTGGCTCTCTGGGCTCTAACAACTGCCCTGCCAAATATGAATCACTTTGAAGGTTTCTGAGGATTAAATGAGATCATTCTTGTAAAACACTTAGTCCAAAGGGTAGACCAGTAAAGCAACACCTGAGATTACAGAAGAAAAATCAAGGAAGTGGTTGTATTGGGAACCGAGGCTCCAGCCTGGGGCAGATCTGTGTGGGGAGTCTGAGGGGGGCACAAGAATGCCTGCATGAGAGAAGAATGAAGGTGCAAGCAAATAGCCTCTCCCCTACCTGTTTTTCCAGAAATTCATTACACAACACACCAGCCCCTTTCATACCTGGATAGGTCTCACAGACAGTGAAGGCTCCTGGAAATGGGTGGATGGAAGCGACTACAGGCATGGCTACAGGTAAGAGGCCCCTCTCCGGCTCCCTGTCAGTTTCCCTTGGGGAGGGCCACCTGGCCCTTCGCCCCAACATATGCGCACAGGTCTCTCAAGGACCACATTCTCCAACCCTCTCCTTCTCACTCCCCACCTCCAAGGCTGTGTTTTGACAGCCCCGGCAGGATGGGTTGCTGGGATGTGTCAGGTCAGAGCTTGAGCTTCAGTTTGTCTTCTTAGGAACTGGGCGCTCTCTCGGCAACACAGCTGGTGGGGCAGCGAAGCGGGTGGAAGCAAAGGCTGTGCTGAAGTCCTGTCCAGCGGCTTCTGGAACGACAATTTCTGCCAGGAGGTGAACCGATGGGTGTGTGAGATGCGGCAGAATATCACCGACTAGGAGCCCCTTGCCAGCAGGACTTTCCATGCCCCACCCCTCTCACCTGAGGATTGTGAAGGACAGAAGCAAAATGGAGTTCCGGCCAAGGGGAGCGAACTGAGGAAACATAGAGAAGGGCGGTTTATTTGTCTTAGACCCTGGGAAGGCTGAGATCCTCTTGCAATTCATGTAATTAGTATACTTTTCAGCCTCTTCAAAGGAGTAAGAAAAGAAGAAGTAAATACTTGAAACTCTGTGTGGCCTGGTTATTTGGAGCTGGGATGTGGGTGCACAGAAAAGAGAGGGGGGAGGGTCTAGAAGAGGCAAAGTATAAAATTCCTAGGCAGCTGCTCTCTGCACTGACCCCCACCCCCAGGACATCTGAAAGGGATGAGGAAAGAGGCTTGCAGCGCAAATGTTGAGTGGCTGAAATTTCTAAGAGCTGGAGGGGTCACCTGGAACCCCAGAGGGGCTTTCCCTGCAGTTGTGGCTCTCCCCAAACTGGACTGCAGGGAACCCTTTCCCTCTGACCTTACTCTCTATGGAAAATATTTGTCTGGAGAGAAGGAGGCTGGGTAGATGACACCTTCCCTCTGCCTTCAGCCTGCCTGCCTCTTTGGAACCCCAAACAAATTTAGACCTATTACCAGCACAGAGTAGCACCAGCAGTTTCCATAGGGGGCACGTTTTCCCTCTTAAGATCACTTAGGTCACACAATGAAATATTATTTAGTCATAAAGAAGAATGAAATTATGTCATTTGCAAAAAAATGGGTGGAATTGATCATCACTTTAAACAAAACAAGCCTAACTCAGAAAGTCAAACACCATATGATGAATCTAGGGAAAAAATAAAAAGAGAGATGGCATGAAAGTAGAAGAGAGAGACTATTAGAGAAGAGAAAGTAGATCTGGAGATGGGTGGGGAGGGGGAGGAGAGGAAATGGGGAGAGGGAAGTGATCAAAATATGTTATATATGGACGAATATGCCAAAATGAACCCACTAGTCTACATGACTAATATGTATTAATTTTTAAAAAAAGTAAACGCTAAGGCTGGGGATGTTGTTTAGTGGTAGAGAGAGCACTTGCCCAGCATGTCCAAGGCACCTCTCCTCCACAAGTATTGCTCACTGCTAGGTTAAAAAAGCCAGTCTACAAATGCTTCCTACTGAATGATTCCAACTGTATGACTTAAGGATCAGTGGTTTCCAGGGGTTCAGGGGCAAGGGAGAGATGAATAGGTGGGACACAGAAGAATTTGAGGGCAATAAAACCATTCTGTATGAAGACACTGTAAGAGTGGATATGTGGTATACATTTGGTAAATCTCATAAAATATACGACAGAGTGAACTCAAACTATGGACTTTAATCATAATATGTAAATATTGGCTTATCAGTTGTAAGCAATGTACCATACTAACAAATGAAAAGAAGTCATGAAGAATAAAATGAAAATTCCAGTAAGCATAACTTTCTGTTTTTTTGAGCTATTGGAATGACTCACTCTAGGAAGATACAAATTTAAACATGTCCTGGGGTTGTCAGCACAACGTTGTGAGGAAGTAAAATTGCCTCTGAAAGATGAATAAATTGTGAAAGCTGAGAGTTTCCAACAATCATAAATAAAAACAAAAGTTGTTTGTGTGGTGTTTTGAGGAGCAATTTTGCTATTGCAATCTATCAAAGAAAATCTTTAATAATTATCAAAAAGGGAGAAATTTTTAAGGTTGTATTCTCCTGTTATGATACAATTGAATTAAAATCACATACAAACTAATAAAAAGGCATAACTGTTTGTAAATGAAGAAACATTTCCCCACATTATCATGATTCAAAGGAAAAATTATGTGTAAAATAATGAAATATATCAAAGCATATGGGATACAGCCAAAGGTGGCTCATAGGGAAATCTGCTTCCTTAAGGTTATTTTTAATTATTAATAACTAAAGAGTGAGGGTCGGGGATTTAGCTCATTGTTTCTGCTGCCTGCCACGTAAGCACAAGGTGCCAAGTTAGATCCCCGGTACCATAACAAACAGACAAAAAACCTAAAGACTGAAAATAGTTTCTTACTTAAAAATGATAAAAATCAACTACAAAGTAAACCAAAATGTAGTAGTAGTAGTAATAGTAGTAATAGTAAATTAATAATGATGGGTGATTACAAGAATTAGTAGAGTACATAAAGCTAAAACTAATTTTAAGAAGAAAACTTTAGAGGTTTAGATAATTGTAGACTTACATGCAAGTAGTGAAAAAAACAACACAGTGATCCTGTACAACTTTCCCCCAGTTTCCTCCAATGTTGTAAATATTGCACAGTACTAAAACATTAACAGTCATGATATGAAACATTTCCAGCCACCAGGATCCTTCCTATTCCCTTTATATCCATACCTATATCCAAACCCTGCCCATAAACCCACCAATTCCTAACCCTACAGCCATAAATCTGTTCTCTACTTCTATAATTTTGTAATTTCAAGAATGTTATTTAAATGAAATCATACAATAGGTAACCTTTTCGGATTGGCTTATTTTCTCTCAGTGTAATTCTCTGGAGAGTCCCAAAGTTGGGGTTATGCATCAGTAGTTCATGCCTTTGTATTGCTAAGTTGTATGCTGAGGTGTGAATGTACTAGTGTGTTTAATCATTCACCCACTGATGGGCATCTGGGTGTTTGTAGTTTTTAGCTATTGCTAATAAATCTGCTATGAATAATCATATAAAAAAATTGTGTGAACATAACGTAATTTTTCTGGGATAAATGCTCAAGGGTGCAATTGCTGGATTGTGTGTATAGTTGTTGCATGTTTAGTTGTGGAAGAAACTGACAAATTGTTTTCTAGAGTTGTACCATTTATATTCTTTCCAATAAAGTGTTAATGACCCAATATATTTATTTTAGCTGTTCTGATAAGTGCATAGTGATGCACTGCTGTGGTTTTAACTTGGTTTTCCCTGGGAGCTCATGATGTCTATCTTTTCATGTGCTTGTTTTTCATCTGCATATCATCTTTAGAGAAATATCTCATCATGCCTTTTGCCATTTTCTAGTTGGAACTTATTTTTGGTACCAGGGATCAAACTCTGGACCTTGAGTTTGAGAAGCAGGTGGTGGAACTGCTGAGCTAAATCCCTGGCCCTAATTGGGACTTTTAAATTGTTGAGTTTTCAGAATTCCTTATAATATTCTAGATATCTGGTCTTTGTTGGATTTGTGGTCTGCAATATTTTCTGTAGAACTTGTGTTTTCATTCTCTTAAGAAACTCATTTCTGCAAAGACTATCAAGATTACTAGACTCTTGGCAAGCCCAATTAAGGAATCGAGAAAAGTAACATGACCACATGACATTTCCTGTTTTTATAAAAATTTGGCTGCATTCCTAAAGCTGAGAATGATTATTGATAGTGCCAATGTATTTAAAACTGACAGAAATTGGAGGCATTAAGGCAGGACTTACTAAGAGGTGGCAAGACAAGCAATCACCAATATTATTTTAAGGGAGTTTTTTTAGCTGCAGTGAGGCATTGTACTTTTTCTCCTCACAGGGAAGAGGAATGCTTCTGCACACCCTCACCAGACAGAGGAACAATTTGCAGAGACAGTGGTTATCTCCAAGGTGACAAGTCAGGCTCTCTACCAGTGCAGACAGTAGCTAACTGGATATTGTTGGGATCTCCCTGTACTGCTACTTGATAGGAGCAATAAGAGCTTTGTGGATGTGTCTCTGGGAGTTTTGAGGTAATCATGAAGAAATAAACTCATCTCTGCTTCTTAGTAGGGGAATCTGATGACAGATACCTGACCAAACCCACGTCCTTTTCTTCAGTTGATCAGGCTGCACTCCGTAGTTGGCAAGGCAAGAATGTCAGAGAATTTAGGAACCAAGACAGTCAGGTTTGACTTTCCCTGGGTGGTCTTCACACCAGAGTGAGGCTGAAAGAAAGCCTGGTAAGAGCTGGTGTAAACCAGAGAGCACCTCATCTTTATGAGGCCCCACTGTGGAACAGAGAGGTGCAGAGGGGTCTCTGAGGCACCACCTCGAGGACTCATGAAAGGTCGGTGTTAGATGCTTGGTGTGAAAAGCACTTAACCCTTAAACACCACAGTAGCACCAGTCTTGTGTCCTTGAACTCTGTTCTCCTTTGCCTTTTAGGGTGGGTGAGGAGAAAAGAAAAAGACTGAGGAAAGAGTCCTATATTCCAGGGAGATAGTGTATGGCGGGCAACCAGGTTCTTGAGGAACAGACTCTGAGGTGAGAATTCTTTTGAAAGTGATTCATTAGAAAGTGTTCTGAGGAAGGGAGGGCAGGGGCATGGGGAAAAAATGAGAACCAAGATCTGTCATGTAAAGGTACAAGATCCCAATGATAAATGTAACTGTACTGTGTACTTAAAAAGTACCAATAAATTCAATAAAAAAAAGAAAGTGTTCTGAGGAAAAATAGGTAATGGAATGTGGAAGCAGGGTGAGGAAGAGAAGGACACCCAGCAAGGATAGAAGCTGACCATGAGGTGAAGGTTCTTGTAAAAGTGATTCATTAGAGTGAGTTTTCAGCAAAGTTCTGTGGTGGTGGTGGTGGTGGTGGTGATTGTATAACTTCAGTTCATTGCCACAGGAGAGTGATGGAGATGATGTAGGTCACAGCTCAGGGTTATCCCTATTAGGAACAAAGGAGCTACACACATGTCAGTGGTTAACAGTGAGAATGTGAATCCCGAGACCCTTCTGCCCCTGTGTGACCAGATGTATGAGGGCCTTCATCAGATGAAGAAACACTGATGCTGGCTGTTAAAAATAAACCCACAGGGGAAGTCAGTGTGCAGGAAAATGGTGAAGGGGTCTGAAGGTGTCCAAGCAAAGCCTTCGGTTTTCTGCTGTGGCCCCACCCATGGCAGATCCATCCTCAGCCAATACTGCTTAAAATTTTGAAGGGGTGTGAGATAGAAGTTTTGCTTTAGTCTGGACTGACTTTTGAGACCTGAAATTAAGACTGTTCTTATAGCTGATTGCATACAAAAGAATAATGCAAAAATTCTACTTAATAACAACGAAGAGCA